CTCTCTCTCTCTCTCTCTCTCTCTCTCTCTCTCTCTCTCTCTCAACCTTTTCTTCTCTTCATCTCGTCTCAATGCACTCTGGAAAGAACAATTTGAAAATCAATCTCCCATGTTCTCCTTCTTCCACCTTTGCCTCCCCACACAAAATGCCTATGGCAAGGAGTGGAGCGCCTAGTGCAGTACTTCACTGACACAGCGTGGTACAGTAATCCTTTCTCTAACATGAACTCAACATGCTTGTGGCACGAGAGAAGCATGCACTTCCACATCTGCGTTTGCATGCTCTGCGTTGGGTTTTCAGTTTTCACATTTGTATTTTCCTTTTCGGTACTTTGGTTCGATTGTGATGAATGAAAGTTTTCTGATTAAAATTTTTTTTGTGTTGTGTTGTATTTTAGTTATTCTCTGTTTTAAATCTTTTTCATATGCTCCATCCTCTCACATTATGTAGTGTCATTATGCATGCTTTGGTAAATCTCTCTCATGTGGATTTGTTTTCTATGCATTGAACAGGTGCTTTATTGTCAGTCTTCACCTTGAAAGATATAGTTTAAGTCTATTGAAAGGAATAATGTTTAAGAATAACCTTGGGATGTACGATGTGGGTGCATATTACTGCTGTCTTCAACAATTACCTTCATTTCAACTCGACTATTGAAGGCAGTTAAAAACAAAGCACAAGATGGATCTAAGTAATCTCACTTCCTCAGATGAGACGCACACTGAATTACCACTTCCACAACCACCATTTTAAATAATAGCATGAAATCTGATCTATAGCTTCGAAATGGAGCAGAACCACATTGCCACTCTCGTGTATCATATGTGCTTCAGTCCTTTTGTCTTCTGGCAGACATGAAGGGGATCATGTATATGTTATCAGCATAATCCTATTCATAATGTGCATGTTGCTTTTCCAATCGCACACCATTTTTCATGCGGCTGCCAAAGGCTCCTGACGTCTCCGAGCTGTCTCCGTTTGTCACGTCCCTCAGTCAGGCCTTTTCTGTGAAAGTGAAAGCTATCATCAGAGAGTTGAGATGTTTACATCTTGGCAGCACATTGAAGGGCTCACAACGATCTTTGCTAGTTATCTGCAGAAGACAGTTGTCGATGCAAATAATTACAGTGTAGCCCTATATATATTGCACGCGTCTATCTCTGACAGAGCTGAGTCGCCTACGAGTTGCCCTCAATGCAAACATGGCAATTAATTGAGAGTGTTGCATATTTTATTTATTTACTGTAAGACAATGAACATTCACCATTTTTGGCAAAGTCTGAAAAAGACGGGAACAAAACAGGAAATAAAATCATGTTCTTAATCATTTTCATTTTGATGATTTACTTCAGTAAGTGTAATTTTTGTGTTTTTGTTACAAGCTTTGGGAATCGGTAGGGAATGTTCTCTCTCTCTCAGACTGAATCTCAAAAGAAATGAGAGATACAGTATTTTAAAGCAGAAAGAAAAAAAGACTTAATAACACACTCATTGTTGGAGTGATGGACTAATCAGGGCTTTTGTAAGAAGCAACAAAAGCATCTTTATTCAGGAGTTTTTCAGACTTTGAAATGTGAACATTATATTCTTCTATTATTCTGAAAAACATTCAACAACAACAAGCGGTGAGACGTGGATGAGGGTTTTGTAACTTGGTGGTCGCACTGTGGCAGGGGACCAGGAGATGGAGCTGTGGCCTCGGACATTTACTCCCACCCGCAATACAAATGACTGATGGAGGAAACGGGCTGAACCGCCTGACCTGCTCAGCTTATTTATCTCACATCCTCTCAGATCCTTCTACGCTCACAGTGGGCATGTTTCTGATGAAACTTACTTCATGCTTTTCAGAAGCTTTTGATGGTTCCAGGAAGATTTAGAAAATGGACATTCCTGTGATTTCTGATGAGTAAAAACAGACAGGGATACAATCATTGTGCTGCAGTCTGAATATATGAAGGCTAACGTAGAAAGTAACAGCATTTTAAGCAGTAGTATTTTAATATAGTTATGAGATCATAAACTTTTCAGAAAATTGAAGCTCAATATTTACTCTTCCCTGATCTGAGTACCTCTGCTGGTGTTTGGGAGAACTAATTATAAAACGCGTTTTCTGCTTAATATTTGCTTTTTTTTCTCTAAATACGGTTGAAAATGGTTAATGTGAAAAGTTATAACTAAAGGATTTCATTGGATTTTGCAGGTTTTCATGTCTACAGTACCTTGAAAGTCCCAGAGTGGGTCTAACTTTCACATGGTTAACTGCTCAGATGTTTTTAAGCTCCTCTGCAGCAGTGATCACAAAATGACTCAAAGACTTCACAGTTTTCAGCCATTCGCATCACAAGGTTATTCTCCTCTGCTGGTTTTTGTTTTCTTCTTACAGTAAGTGCTGAATCAGGGCTTCTTCTGTGACTTTGCTTCAGTCTAGGAATAGTTCAGCGCCCGGCTGTGGAAGCCAGCTGGGATATTACAGAGTAAATAAACAAGCCAAAGAAAGGCAGAATTTTTAGTTTGCTTTTTTGATTTAGAATTTCCTTCAGAGCTTCGAAATATTCAAACGTGTGGCTTCCATCGGGATCAAAGAGCCAAAGGGGGGAATTTTTAAAACCATCCATTTCTTGAACATGATAAAAACAACTGAGTCTTACCTCATTATCTACCGTATGCTCCATGACTCTTTTATACCAATTTTTTCAAAAATTCCTATTGATATTTCTTTCTTCTTTTCTGCAGCCTCAAATACTACAGCCTTCCAACCACTGCCTCAACGAGCACCTCCACCAGGGAAGAATAGTAAAAACTCCCCCCACCGAGGGCCACAGTGATCTCACAAGGAGTAGATCAGTGGAAGGAACCTGTATAGATGCTGATCGTCGCCTTCAAGGCCTTAGGGCAGATGTGACTGGCCCAGTGTACCACGACAAGCGGAGTCATCTCCTCAGCAACCACCTACACTGCCCGGGCTCTGGGGCTCCACGGGGGGTAACTGCTAGAGACAGTCCAACATCAGAAGCTCTGTCTGCTGGACAGCATGAGGGTAGAGCCCCCACTGTGATGCTGCAGAGCTCCGTCACTCCTAGATCTGCTGGTCCCACTTACCCTCGCCTGCTGCAGCCTCCTCGTCTTCACAAGCGCGTGTCTCTCCCTGCACTCAAGCCAGGGGGCGCTGGTGGCTTTGCCTCTTTGAAGCTAGGGTCTTCCTTAGGGCCACTGGCCAAGCAGCTGCCCCCTCCCTCTAGAGGCCTTCCCTGCTTTAGCGCTGGACCCCAGGTGCCGGCTCCAAGTCTCCGTCGCACTTCACTGCTTCAGCCTCGCAGAGCATCGGACCTTTGCAGGGATCAACGGTGCAGCGACTCCCCCCTGGAGGAGCCTGACCAGGGGACGCTCAAAGACCCAGGGTCAGAAAAGATCCAGATCTCTTTGAGCCGATCATGCCTACCCAAGCCAAAGATTCCCTGAGGAGCTAAATCCAACAATCAAAACCTAAAACTGGAATCAATCTGACATCGGTATTCATCCCCTTCTTCCCCTCACCCTGGTCACAGTGAGATTGTTTTACCTTTTGAGTGTCAAAGAACATACACTGATCGAGCCGATCAACCCATGTGGACCATTCAGGGGCTGCGTGTGTCGGTGGCTTTGGTACTGCGACTCCTGTACAGTACCATTTCTAAATTAGCTTTCACATCTCCAGCCTGACCGATCGATTGAAATGTAGTTTGTTGCAGGATTGTACCTTCACAACAATCCTCAATCCTAAATGGCAGTTTTCAGGAAGAAGAAATGTCCAGTTTACTAGTTTTGCACATGCTCATGAATGCTGCTTATGCAAAAAAAAGAGTATTATCATTCAGAGAGATTCAGCCTTTTGTTTTCTTTTTGTAAAACCCGCTGGCTGTTACCACATTTTAAAGTCTAAGTTCACTTGTCCACACACAGCTGTGCCCTCTGACACACAGGGGTGTTCAGTTTCTAAGCACTGAGGTGACATGAACGTGACCTTTGCCGTGTAATGGAAGGCCCAGGGGAATATGGAGGCAAAAACAAAAAGCGAGAAAGAAAGAAGAGAAAGGACAAAAATACAACAACAGTGGAAGTGAAATAGGCACCAGAGACTGAAAAGCAAATTTGTTAAATCAAGCTGTCACTACAAAAATGAAAATGTGTTTGTGCAAATATGTGTGAGAGATGAGAAAGCGAGGAAAAGGGAAAGTGGAGAGCAGATCGACACTGTAGGTGCATATTTGTTTCTGTTCAGCCGAACCTCACCTCCTCGGTACAACTCTAAACCTTGCAACTCAGATGGAAACCTGGTCCTATAAAAAAACAAAACAATATCACCGGTGGCGGAGATATAATGAGGACAGAAAGTACACGAGTGAGGAGCTGGCTTTCATAATGTAGAAAAGAGCAGGTAATGAAGCACTCACACACTTAAAGTTAGCTCAGGTACAAATAGGCTCACTCACACTCTGCCAACACACACAATGTGTTCATACTCCAAAGTGTGTTATTTTACTTTGTGCATTTTTCGATATAGAACACAGTGAGGAGTAACAGGAAGCTTGATGAAAGAGCAGGCAGCGTGCAAACAGGCTCATATATCTTCCTCGCTATTTAAGTGCTTTAGTGGACAATCACAACAGGAAAGAAAATCTGCGGGTGATGTGAGGAAACTTAAATTTGTTTGGAAAGTGCTGAGAACTTTTAAAGTTGGTTACATCCGCTGCCTCGTTTTAAGACATCACGATTTGATGCAACAAAAAAAAAAAGAAATAGTCAAAAATCAGGTGGAAAAATGACTTAATTGATGGTTTATGAGAAAAAATATTTTTGAGTCAATTAAATAACTCTTTGAACTTCTGATCTAATCATTAGATGTGTGAAGCTGCTGCCTGGTGTGTGTATGCGTGTGTATGCGTTTGTGTGCGTGTGTGTGTGTGTGTGTCTGAGCTGTTTCCCCTCCTTCCCCTGTCTCTCTTCTCCTCTCGCTCTCCTGCACATCTCTTTGGGAACATCAAACGTATTAGTGGGTTATTTTTAGGTAGGGAGCCTTCGGGGCTTTACAGGTGTTTCTCTGGGAGTTTTGTAGAATCGAGTTTATCTCTCCTTTGCGGAGCCCTTTTTGCAGTCAAACGCTCCCGAAATGTCCCCTATCGGAGAGCAGCAGTGTGTTAAAAAGGCCTTCTGACAGCAACTCTGCTCTCTTCTCTGTCACGCCGCGTGACCGCTTGGTGTACGCCTCTGGCACTGTCCGGTCTACTGCGTCCGATAATGCACCCTACATAGACAGAGTGAGACAGAGAGAGAGAGAGAGGGAAACACACACGCATACACATCGAACAGGAAGTCTGGCAAAACTCAAAGAGACACAAACTCAGTAGGAGCACACACATCAGTTCACCCCCCCACACACACACACACACTTTGGATGCTACACCAAAGTGTGTTAGTGTTGTTTTGGTTGCGCTCACAAAATGAGCTCTCCGAGTCCACATTGATCCATTTCTCTGCTGTGGCCCCCCAAAAAAATGTCTGTCTCTAGATTACCCTGGAAATGGGTAGAGGCTTTTGTGTGAGAGTGTTTGTGAGTGTGCCTGTTTGTTTCCGAGTGTGGATCCATGCGGCTGATAAAACATGTTTACCTGTTGTGTGGCTCAACATTGTGCCAAAGCATTCAGGCAGTCCACACTGCTCTGTGAAGCCAAAAGAGAAAAGAAAAAAAACAAGCCCCTCATTTATTTTAATGAAACGGATGCGGAGACAGAAAGATACATACAGAGGATTAGGAAGAAGATGCACAGCGGGAGACAATAAGACGGAGCGGCAGGAAAGAGACTAGATTAAGAGATGCCGTGATAAAACTAGTGAGGGCTATGATCAAGATGAACAGGTTCTGGCAGTCGTTGTGACTGTTTGTCTATAAAATCTTGTGAATGTGTGTAGAAGGGGGGGATGGAATGGAATACATAGCATAGTTTGTTTGTGTGCACTGTTGTCCAGAGAATAGACCAATCGCCTCAGCTGTGTCACTCACTGCTTAGTAATGCCAAACAGGAAATCAATGTTGCCTGCTGTGTGTTTATCTGTGTGTGTGTGCATGTGTGGTGTGTCTCCAGACACCACTGGCTGCCAGTGTTTAATTATTGTGTGTGTGTGTGTGTGTGTGTGTGTGTGTGTGTG